CCCCCCCAAGGTAAAACACTTGATTATATACAAATTCTGGTCATTGCATTAAAACCAAAAGAGGAATGTGTAATACACTTGAAGCAGTGTGATATGTTTCTACAGCCCTAGATGTTGATTTTTTTTTTTGACCTCCAAACAAAAATCGTGGAGTCAATGCTTTGTTTTCTTAGGAACTGCTTTTTTAGATTCCCTTATCAAAAGGGAAAATACAGGTGCTGAATCTTACATCTCATTAAACTTGTACTTTTTATTTGCCCACTCATCTGGTTTCCTTTCCCTTTTAAGGCCTCCCACAGTCTCAGGGTATATAAATCACTGACTCATCCAAATAATAACAAAACGGACCAACCAGAGGTTAATGTGCCTTTCTCTTATGGTACCTTGATCTTTGTAAAGTTATCTCAAACTTGTCACTGTCTTAGGGCTGGGTACATGCATTGTCTTTTTCTAAGATATGCGTCCTGAAGTTGCAACAGGTTTGTACTGTTAATCATGATTCATTTGCTTTAGGATGTGGTGTAGACACAAATCAAATGCACTGATTTGTCTTGGGATCAGTCCTTCCTGTGACATTTATCAGTGCTTGCCTGTATGTTAATGTGTACACAAATGCTGGATCTTCCCCATTGCCTATGATTGTACTTGTATACGATGCACAAACTACACAAGGCTTTTTTTAAATGTGCAGTGATCACAACTTGTTGCCTGAGGTTAGGATGTCCTATAGTGAACTGTGTTTTGTTTTGTTTTCCCAAATATATTTAAAGATTCAAAGCCCTGAAAAAAATCAGGACTCGCTGACACTTGCTGGCTTTTGTTCTGAATCCAGGGTCTGATGTTTGTTAACAACTCTTGCAACTCCACCCATCTCACAGAGCCTTTCTCAGCTTGCTATTTCTGTCATGAGCTGTGTCGGAAACAGCACTGGATCCTGAACTATCATAGAAGCTGTCAAGTGAAGTAGTAACAGCTCTCTTCAAATGTAGTGCGCATGTTTTTAAATGTAAGGCAAAACTGTTTAAAACTATTGATGCAGTTTGCAAATTAAGCTGTGGGAAATTGCAGATAGTAAAACTAACATGTCTGCACTTAACAGCTTGTCTTCAGCGTTATCTTGTAAATTTTTCCTCTCTGAAAAGCGACTTTCTTTTTTTTAAAGACAAAGGAATTAGACATTTGGCTTTGTTTCTGAATTTGCAAAAGACATCTTTGTTCTAGCAAACTCAAACTGAGATCTGGAATTTGGGCCAGGTTTCTGTGTCTTGTGCTGTTAGCAGAGGATGGTGTTAACTGAAACGAGATACCCCTTCCCAGTTCTAAGCTTAATCTGATCATGAGAGCATGGGAACAGGAACACTTCCTCAATTGTGGCCTTAAATGGGTATGCACATACGTAACTGAAATTAGGTACAGAATTCTTCTGATCCATTAGGCTACTTTTGTCTTAATCAACACAATTAGTCATCAATGTAGTGAAACTAATCACTGGTGAAGAAGCTTTAGTGTATGTGTATTTCCTGTTCTAACTGTGTCTTCTCTCTGTACCCCACTGGAGATTTAATCGAAAATTCTTTTTTTAGTTTTTGCTAACTCTGGTGTTTCTTACAATTCAGTCAAGTCCCATCTTTATATGCAGTCACTTTTCAGAGTAGAACAGATTGGTTTCACCTTGTTTTGTAATCTTCAGCACTTTCTTCTTTCCCATTTACCTTTCCTCGTTTACCTTTAATAATCAATTCAAAGCTGTTTGCCTAGTCTGAAAAATATCAAGTCATAATAAAAACAAAACGTGGCCCACTGTAGAAAGATCACTTTGTTCTTTTACTGTAAACTTCAGTTACTGTCTGGCTGAATCAAAAGTGGTGACTCCCACTCCTGCAAAATCTGCAGAAGCTGCAATTCTCTTGCATCCATATTGTACAGTTGATGCCAGCAGGTGTGGAAGAGGAGGTGTCCTGCTTCTGCATCTAGTGTTTGTTAAACTGATCCATGGTGCTCTAGTCAAGAGAATTGCACCCTTGGCTCTTTTTCAGGGTCATAACTGAAGACTCATTTAGGGGGCAAAAGCAGAAGGCTCATCACTGACTTTCCGTTGATTCTTGATCCCGTTTGAAGGCTTTCTCCACACATTTTTTTTTCTTGCAAAACTGATGGGTTATGAAAAAACTGTGCTACTAATCATAGCTAAACTCTGACCCTGTGCTTAAATGGCCAAAGTTACTGTAATTGGCTTTGGCCAGTGGTAATGCCAAAAGCTGGCTGCCTTCAGAGATGAGCTGATATTTGAATGTTTGAGCAATAGAAGCCTGGGGGTTTTGCTCCATCATGCCTTATGCTTGTATATTGGACTGCAGACTAGTTGCTTCTAGAGTGTTCGAATAGAAACTGCTGGTCGTCCATTTTCAGATGAGGTGTGAAGATGGCATGGGGAAGAACCAGTTTCTTCAGTGGTCAGTCAGTCACTCACTTGTCACTCAAGGTTCCCAATGCACTTCTGTCTCATCTTTGTTTCATCATTTACTAAGAATACTGTGCTTTACTGCTGCCCCCAGCCACCTCCACCTGCTTCTGGCTGGGATGATGGAATGAAAGGGCCTTGTCTGTGGCTCCCTCCACCTGGCTCTTTGTTGAATTAGCACTAGGTATGTGTGCAGGGGTGTAAATGCCACCTGGGATTTACTACTTCAGTTGGCTGCTCTCTAGGCTGCTTTCACAATGCAGGTGATAGCGGGACCATTGCTAAAATGTCTGGATTAAAAAAAAGCTTCTAACAGGGTTTGTCACTCTTGTTCAAATGCTTTGTCTCCATTCTCAGCCTCTTGTCCTGGCCTTGCTCCCTCCTGGCCACCCTGCACCCCACTGGACTCGAACAGGTTCCCTGTTTTCTCTCTGCTTACTGCTTTAGATACCAGTTCTGCAAAGCCCGCAGGCAGGTGTTTGAGCCCCACTGCAATTCACGAGATTTCTGCACCCACTTAAGCAGTATCTTGCTGAATAGGGGCCTTGCTTACAGGCTCCCTATTCATTTTACCCAGCTCTGGATATCTTCCTGAACTGGTATCCTCCTCCTAGTCTAAAGGGCTGTGCTCCAAACTCATTCCTGCTGTTAGTTCCTGCACTACTGGCTATTTCAATTAGGTTGTTTTTATTTTCCCCTTGTTTGTTCTGGGGTTCACTGCATATGTACAAAATACTATTGATTTTTTTTCCCTCAACTTTCTCCTGAACATGGTATAGGAGTCCACTCTTTGAGGCATCAGAACTATTTGTCCGCTTCAAGGTGCACAGAAGCAAGGATCTCTTACATGAACAAGCTTTAGGGAGGAAAAGCAGCTGCATACACAGAATTGGAAAGGTATCTCTGGGTAGACTAGGTAA